AAGTGTTTCTCTATTCAGATTGAACCACTTCCCATATCTTCTTACATGCTCTGTTATACCCTGTGCCCATCTCAAGACTCATCCATGCAAGACGCCCCATTCATGAGATGTGTCTCTGTAGAACCATGTTCTGGAACCAGGGTCAACTTGATTGCAAATAAAGTGTTGTCTCTCCTCTCTGCTACTCTGGGACTTGTCAATCAGGTGCTGCTGGGTTGACAGTCTTGGTTCTACTTGCTCCCCGGTTTATCCCTAACCATATTTCTTTCAAGAAGGAACAGAGTCCTCCTTTGTTTAGGGCATTTTTCACTCACTCTGTTAAGCCTCCAGAACATGCCACACTCTGCCTTAACCAGAACACTGTTTCCTTATTCCTTTGGGGTTTTTTTCCATCCTTTCATCAGATGGCAGATTCTACTTCCCATAATAATTTACCTATCTCTGATTTCTCTTCCAATTTTAGCAAAATTGGTCAGCATTGCTAAATGTTTCTACTGGTGGTATTTGAAACAGGATATCCTTTGGGTACAAATACTTCCTTGTACTACTCTTCTCTCCATAATCAAGAACATGCTCCTCAGCCAAGCAAAAGTAGAAGGTCAAGTTCAAGGTAGATGCCTCCTTTATCTCAAAATTCAGCTTCTGGGAAGTTAAAATAAAAACAACCAGAGCACCTAAATATACTTTAAGCTTCTACTGTCCTATTCTGAAGTCACTATCAAGAAGGCAGAGACCAACCAGGTCAGTCAGGTGTAACATCACAGATGAGAAAGAAAATAGAAATTTAACTTGGGGGCGAGGGTGGTGGTGGATTCAGATATACCAGGAAAAAATACAACAAACTGATGTATGCCTCTAATTCCTAAAAATTTGGTTTAAAATATATGAAGAACAAGCAGATATTTTAAACCAAGGACTTTCTATGAAAGGAGTCAAAAAAAGGATATTCACCACACTTATTTTAAATGTGTTTTTTCATTAAATATCAAAAGTAACAAACAATAGTTTTAAATATGACAAATTACATTCTCTGGTGGATTGACAGCTAGTGGTCAACTTGTAACACCCAGCTGAACTGAACCAGCATGGTGCTGGGTGTGGGAGGCCCACCTGAGGATTGTTGCCAGCAGCATAAGAGGCAGAACTGGAGAGGAAGAAGTGAAGCTGTTGGGAAGCTGTTGGTTTTCCTGGAGGATCTTGTCCTGTTGGCTTTCCCAATGAACTTGGAGGTGCTCAGGACCTTGTCTCTGAGAATGGCTATTGTTCACTTTGAGGAAGCTCTTGTCCTTACTTTGAGCATTGATTTCCGGCTCCGGAGTTGAAGATGGTGCACTGTTCAGTTTCCTGGAGAAGCTTGTCCCGTTGGCTTTCCTGATGGGAACTCCACTGTTCTCATTATCAGAGAAGCTCAGGACCTCACTCTTGCTGAGGATGGCTGTGGTACTTTTCGGGGGAGCTCTGGTTCTTACTTTGAACATTGCTTCCTGGCTCCAGTTTAGCACCCTCAGCCTGCTAGCACAGATCCTTCACCTCACTAGCACAGACTTCCTAGATTCCACAACTGACCTTTGGGTCTTCCCAGCACAGATCCGTGAAACAGACCTGCATGATACATTGTTGTGGGCTCTAGGCCTCCAGTTGGACTCGTGGGGTCTATTGTTATGGGCTGTAGGTCTTCAACTAGACTCATGTAGGACATTACCATGGGATCTAGGCCCTCGGCTGTCTTCTTTGGTCTTTAGTGTATGGACAGATTTCCTTCACTTTCTTTATATATGATTCTTTGGATGACTATTATAAAATAATTTTATAAATTAAGTGTCCTGTATTGTATTGTTTCCCCTTTCAAGCCCCAGACTACAACACACTCTGATGATAAAATTGAAATTAAAAAGAAGGTAAATATATAAGGCAGATTACAAAGCATACTCAGGAAAATAATCTGCCATTGGTCATCACCAAAGGTTTCTAGCTCTAGGTCTGCCATTAACCACCTGTGGTGGGTAATTAGGGGCAAATCATATGTTTCTTAGTCAAAGTTTTATTATCAAGTATATTAATGTTTCAGTATATCAATCCCTATCAGTGTTTTGGACTAGGAGTTCTCCAAGTTCCTTCCATGCTGAAATTATTTGAATCTCCAGATGATTTATACAGGTTTATAGAACTGTAGGTTAGAAATTGCATAATTGTTTTACCCATGCCCTTTGATTCTAAAATCCTATATCATTTCCATTATTTCAATTTGAAGCAGATCATCACATAAATTTAAACAGTGATCCTACAAAATAAGACAAGAAAGACTCAATTGCTATTACCCAAAACTATAAACCTGAGGTTCATTGTCTTTTAATCAAATTAAAAACAGTGTTCTGAAAAAAATAAAATAGGAATAATTCTTTTAACTATAAAATGTTAACTCTTACTTTCCTGAAGTTATCTAAATAATTTATCTCACAAATTACAGTCTTTAGTTCTAATTTTCTGAAAAGAAAATGAAGTACTTTATGACCTCTTATTATTGTTGTTATTACTTTTTGCCATGCCTTAAGAAAACTTTTTTTAAAGAAAACTTATTAAATTTATTTTCTTACTTGGGGGTAGATATAAGTACAAAATTATCAAAGCCTAGTTTCTTCAGTTCTGTTGAATGCATTTAAGGAGAAAATTTAATCATCCTCGTTTACAGAGAATGTTTTCAGGATGAGTACTGGTCTCTTTGAACAAGGTGGTCATACCAAATTAGAAGCCAGAAAGCAGAATTTCAGCTGGACTTTCCTGAAAACCACACTGACTGCTGTTCCCTCGATGTACCAATTCTCAAAGTGTTTCATATAAAAGATCTCTCAAAAATTAGATATCAGTAAGGTGAGAGTTTATTCTTCCAGTCCTTATAAATTCCATTTATTTGTCAATTTTCTCTAGAAGTCAACCTAACCCAGCTCACTCTTTTGTTAAAAACCAAATCATGCACACATATAATATGTAAGTATGTCATAAACATGTGCTCAGAATATATGTATATAAACAGACATGAATATCATATATGGATATGCACATATGTATGCAACATATTTGTAAACGTTTCCATTCTTTAGTGTCTATTTAGTTCCTTAGCATCCTGACCTAGATGTGTTAGTATAGATTTAGAAAATATTACTAATCTATAGATTGCTCCTAAGAGTCTCTCAAATTTAACTATTGAGATGATATTTGGGATAATTTATACCCCATTTCACTTTCTTCACAAAAAAATAACCAAAATGTTGGAAATGACAAGAGATTAATATTAAAGCATATTTTCAAAAGTTATTTCTACAGCTATTCTTCAATAACCTTAAATAGATTTTTAAAGATTAAAAATGTAATTAGAATATAAAATTCCACTTGCTTCATAGCTACAGAAAACTGCATCTGATTATTTGAATTTGGTCAAGATTTCTCCTTAATTAACATTTTAAGATTCATTTAAAACATTCTATAAATTCTAGAACATCACTAGACTAAATCAGATTTGAACTGTTAGCATTTTTATTAATCTAACAAATGAAAATTTGGTTTATTTTTATTTCTGTAATGTTTAACTCATGATTTAAAAGTTACCATTGTATTGCCTTGGATCTCTTTATTGGAGTGTAGTCCTGTTTTCTAGCTTTTAAGGAAAAGAAGCAACTATCTCAGTTAATTACTGTTTCATTGCTGCTACCCCAGAGCAAGCACAGTTAAGTGTGCAATGTTCCAGTGTAATTGGCAAGGATTGGGAAGAACCAGGACATATAAATTTGCACTAACAACTTAAGCTAATTGGCAAAATGGAAACGAAGACAAGAATTTAGTGATTACCCTACACTAAAGTCAAAGGAATGGCTGACAGTAAGCACAATCCCAGAACACAAGTTGAACGAATCCTGTGCAAGTTACTAGACACTTTAATTGGGATGGCAAATAAAATAATGCGTTCAGACAGCCTCTGTTTAATCAGCATACACACACAACTGATAGGGAAATATCCATGTCGAAAGAGGTCACAAGAAGTGACAACTCTTTATAGCTCTTTATTTGTATCTAAAATTAGTGAAAGAGGAATCTCTTTTTGAAGGTAGAAAAATGCCTCAAAGCATCATGCTTCATACAAATTAGGAAGACCAATAGTACAGTATTTATGTTAAAAGCCTTAATGATCTGTGGATGTAGCTCAGTGGTAGAGCACTTGCCTAGTATACACAATGCCACAGGTTCAACCCCAGCACGGCAAATGTAAAACTAAGAATAAATAAAAAGCCTCAGTGTACAAAATGTTACCTGAATGACAGTGGATTCTGAGGAGACGTTTCAACCTATTTGGTAACTGAACATTCATATACAAACAAAATCATAAAACACCATAGATCACTGGCAGTACTCTGTTATCAGAAATGATTATTTATTATGATGATGATATCTTTAGTTTGGTTGCCTAAAATCATTAAAGCACAGGTTTGGGGAGGGATCTTTTTTCTTGGCAAAGTTCAACCATGGCAAATCATAAAATGTTGCTACTCTGGACTCACGAGGTGGAGTTCAGTCATAAACAGAACCAGATGCTTCACAGGGAGGCAAGGACCAAGCACTGAGGCCACGAGTATTTGCAGGGCACCCGCCACATCAGCACAGTAAACACGGCCTGTACATTTGACAGCAGCTCAGTGATACATGGGAAATCTCATGAGGCAAAGTGTAGCAAAGAATTCCTCCACAAAATCAATATTGAACTTTATATTTTCTTCATCCAAATATACAGCCATTGTACACTTCACACCTAGCCTCAACCACACAACCAAACCTTTGTGCATCCCTTGAATCCCAGGGACATACTGTTGCTGTCCAGTATCAGATAATAGAAGTTGAGGTCCTGAAGCCTGGCCTCTCTTCTACTCCCCCAGGATCCATCCCTTACTGACTCTGTTGCACTGCACATTCCCTGTGTCTCCAAACCAAAAAACTGCTGCCCACATCCAGAGTCTTCAGGAGCTTCTATGATTTGTTCTTGACTGAGAACAACCCCAGCTGGCAGATGTTTATTCATCGTAGATGAGCTCAGCTTCATGAAGTCCTTCAGTTTTTCTAAAGCAAGAGAGAAATGCGTGGAAGATCCATCCCATCTGGGTATGACCCCTGATGGAGCCTGTTTTCTCATCTATAAAATAAGGATATTAATACATGCCATTCACTGTTAACTGCTGAAGATTATTGTTAAAATTAAATCTTCAGCTCAGTGCCTGCCACTAACTGTCCAAAATCCACTGCTGTAACTATTATCACCTGTCCTCGCAGAACAATTTGCCACAATTCTAGAGTAGGGTTTATGCACTTGTATAAGTCTCCATTGTCATTCTCAAGTAGATAAACAGATATTGTGTCTCCAACATCCAGAATGTGATCACACGTGTACTTAATATATAGAACAGTCAGGAAATGAATCATCCAGGGGACATATTTGATGGTCTTCATATTAGTATTTTGAAATGTTCCCAGTGGAAATTTTCAGTTTTGATTCTTTCCTTTCTATAATCATATGGATGAAATAGAAATAGAACCATGTAGTTCCACAGCAGGGTGATTTAGAAACCAGCATCACCAGGAACTTCTAAAGTAGATGGGGAAGCAGATCTCAAAATTGCATGGTACAAAAGATCTGTCTGGTGGAACCTGGGTGCCACTGAATGTTGAGCTCCTCAGCAGGACCTGTGGCACAATTTGCATGGTAGATGAGCTCATGATCAAAAATTACATACAGAAGGGAACAAACCACCATGGAAATGAATCAGCTGATGCAACAAACGTAAAATTTCATAATCTGAATTACAATTCAAATGCAACCTAATAGTATTTCACATTTTGAATGAGATAAAAGTAAATCTATATTTTGTAAGGCAAAATCAAGATAGGCAGAAACAGAAATACTAGAAGTAAAAACTATAATCAGTCCAATGAACAATCTTACTTTGTGATTTACAGTTTAAACTGTGAATAAAATATGATTAAACAATATGACCTTTCATATTGGATATCTTTTAAAATATACCTGATGCAAGAAAGATTTTCATTTATCTCCTTAGGCATATGCTATGACTTGGATGTTTAATGTCCACCAAAAGCCCATATGTTAATGGGTGACCCTGAGAATCGTCGGACCTACTGAGAAATCCTTAGATCACTGGAAGCATGATCCCCAAGAAGATAGTGGGATGCCAGTCTCTCTGTCTCTGTGTGTCTGTCTCTCTCTGTGTCTCTGGGTCTTTGTCTCTCTCTCTCTCTCTCTCTCCTGGTTCATCACCTGAGGACTTTGACCTTCTACGTACTTCTGCCATGATGCACTGTCCTTCCCAGAGGCCCAAAATAATGTGGTTCCCCATCTTGTACTGTATTGGAATCAGTTGTGTATTAGTTGTGTATTACCTGATTGCTTTGCAACTTTTGAGTCTCATCACAACGTGATATCCATGACTTCTTCATTAGAGATGAGGAGAGAGATGATCTGTTGGAGTCTTCTGGTCTTTAGATATAAGAGGTCAAGGTTCCCAAAGGGTTTGCTGGTTGCAGTCCAGGACTGCATATACAACCTGTGGGATGGTGCCTCAGTCACATAACTGAAGCCTACTACAGTAGCTCACAGAAGAGCATAATCTCCAAGAGCAACTTTTGGGGAACACAAGAGGAACCAAAGTGACCATATTAGGAACAGAGAGGTCCCATCTCAAAGGTGAAACTGAAGGAGAGTCTCATTCCAGTCCTTTTTCCACTGGGTATCAGAAATGTCTTTCAAATAAATAGAAATTGGAAAGAACATCGACATGTTATACAATCTAACATCAGTTGCAAAAGCAAGTACTAGAGAATGCTCTCCAAGGTTAAACAAAATGTATAGCAACAAGTATATCTCATTTTTGGATTTTATCTTACATTTAGGTAACATGAAGGGAATTGCAATTGTACTTTATCATCTGTATCTTGTGGATAGATGTGATTTGTTGATTGTCACCACTCACAGGAAAAGAAACTGAGAAACCTAGTGGTTAAGAGACTTGCTTTGTGTTACCCAATGTATGGATAGAATAGCTTGTTTTCATTTCACAGTTAATATGATGCCTTAAAATAGTACTTGCTCTTAGGGAGAACTGGAGCCAGCAGGATGCTTCCCTTTATAAGAAGCATTCTCAGTGAGACTTAGACAGTCTCCAGCTCTCTGTGCCCAGAACCAAACTGACTCTTTTTCTAGTTGCTCAACCATGACCTCTTCTTTCCTTTCAGTTCCAGTCTAGCACCAAACTCTGCCAATTCTGCTTCCTTGATGCCTTTGATGCCTCCGAGTACTTCTTCTCTCCTCCCCAGTGGTTCCATCATGGTTAGACCTCCTGTCTTGGTTACTTTTCTCTCATGGCTGAGACAAAATACTTGACACCCAAAATTAAGGAAGGAAAGGTTTATTTAGCTCACAGGCTGTGGAGGTTTCAGGCCATACTTGGCTTGCTCCAAGACAGGGTGGCACATGGCAGAAGACAACAGTTCATGGCAGTGGAAGATAGCAAAAGCAGCAAGAGCACAAGGGAGGAGTGGCAGAGAAGAGCAAGCCTCTTTCCCTCCCTTATATTATAAGCAGGCTCCCCCACCCAGGGGGCGTGTAGCTCTCACATAATATCCATGCCCTCCTCTTACATAGGCTCAGGATGAATACAAAGAAAGCACACTGGCTCCCTGCTGAGTCACATCGTTAACCTTCTAAACTTCTCAAGTGGATACAATAAAAAACATCCCAGAAGGGTAAGGCCATGTCCTTTTTACCTCAAGATGTAGAACTGCTGAGTCACTTAGCTAAACCTCTAGACTCCCCAAGTTAACACAATGTATCAGTCGTAACATCTCCATAATCTCTTGCCTGGATTACAGGCATTCTGGATTCAGGCTGGTTCTGTCCAACATATTTCCCACTCTGAAATGACTAAAGGTTTTCAGTAAGCTCGGCATTATGTCCTATTTCTGAAATGGTGTAGAGAGAAATACCCATTCTCCTCTTCCCCTTGCTCTGGACTCCCTTTGTTCCCAGCATGTTGCATGATTTCAGTTCCTCTGCTCCACCACGCACTTTCATCCTCCCGGCCCAGGTCTGTTCTGTTCCTGCTGACATAAACATGCTCCCTTTTTCTATCCTTTCTACTAGCCAACTCCTGTTCATACTTCAAAGCTAAGCTGAGCTGTTATTTGCTCTGAGAAATCCTGTAATATTGTATTTTCTCTGACCTGCTTGTATTCCCAACCCGACTGCATGTGTTACAAAGGAATGTGTCTGAGTGACCTACCACTAAATCCCTAGTATCTTGCAGTGCCTGATAAGTATTTTTTCTTTATGCAATATTTTAATATTTTTGTTTAAAGTTTTATAAAAGAATTACAAAACCTGTCCATCCTCCCCATAGATAATCACAATGTTGCTCTACAACAGCATTAATGCATTTATTTTACATAAATCATATCATACATTGGCCTGTTAAGTCTGATTTTTTTACCCAGATTCATACATATTGTTGCAAGTGATTTTAGATCATCCATTCTCACTGCAATAATGCCCAATAAATTTTTATTAAATGAAGATAATTAATGAAGCAATGATCACCAAACTCCAAAAGAAGAAATAAGCATCCACATTTCACAAAAGAAATGGCCCTACCCTGCTCTTCTGTCTAAATCTCCTCAAGTTACAAGAGATATAAGAAATAATATAACAGAATCGGTCACATGACCCTCCCTCTTGTCGCAATAGTAAACTGAAACATCAGCGGCACACCTTTCCCATTGTTTTACTTTTAAGGTGTGCCCTCTCCATAATTAGAATCACAGAGCCAGGTGCAATGGGCCTCAGGTGAGTTCTAGGATGGTCATTAGAACACAAGCAAGCAATCCAGACATTAAATGTGGAGTTACTTCCTGTTTTTGTGCTTCACTATATCCCTTTTCATATGCCAAGTGGTCTATGAATCCCATCTGTCAGATTAAGGAAGTACAGTACAGTGCAAGCAAAGGAAGCAAATTGAAAGTGATAAAAAAACAACAGAGGCAGAGTACAGGAGCAGAGGGATGATTCATTGAGAGTATCAGGTGGCAATCCTGGGAGGATGGCTTTCCTTCTGAACTCAAGTTTCCAGTGAAAATCACCTGAAGAGAATTCTGGTGGCTGGGATCCTTCCCAAACCAGTTATTTTTAGGATGGCCAGGGGTGGAGAGCAGGCATCAGTATTTTTTCAAAGCTCTCCAGGTGATTCTGACATGGAACTGGTATCAGAACCACTGATTTAAAACAAAGACCACAGTGAGACAATAAACAGACACACCTGAAGTTGTTCCCAAACTTTATTATGAGGAAAAGTCACCTGGAGAACTTGTTTAAATTGTGGATTTTCTCAAACCCACCCACACCACCCCCCAGAGAGCAGATTCAGTTGATCTGGGTGAGCCTTAGGACTCTCCACTTGTCACAGTCTCTCCAGTGATCCCAAAAAAAGACAAACCCTAGGGACAAGATGGTTAATAAGGGATGAAGAAGGAAAGGAGAAGTGGAACTTCATCGATGAGGAAGTTCTGCCTAGCCCTGATCCAGAGCGAGCACACTAAAACTCAGACCTCAAAAAGGTAACAGATTCATTTTCTCTTAAAATATAGAACACTAGAAATTCAGTGTTTATTAAAATTTCACTTTCTGGTCAATTTAAATTTTTCTAAAAGCATGTGAGTACTACTGGATGGGCACCAGTGACTTATTCACCTTACACAGAAGCAAACCCATTGGGCCACCCTGAAGCGAACACACAACTGCATATGTTCTACAACACACAGCTTTCTAAACTTATCTAATACTGAATAAGCATCTTCTAAAATTAACACGAGAGAATGTTTAGAAAGGCCAAAGCAAAGCCTATTTGAATGAACAAGGGCATGGGGGACAGGGGTGGAGGGAGTAAATGGCCTTTAGAATTCTTTTCATTATGAGATGAAGAACTCAACCTGAGAACTTCAGACTTTTTTCCCCCTCTTACAACCTGCTAAATCATTCAGTGGTCTGCTTCCACATT